GTGGGAGCGCCGCCGCGCTTCCCAAGCGGCGCACTGTAGCAGTGTGCCACCAGGCTGGCCCAAAAGCAGGACTTTTCAATGACAGGATGGCTAAGGTTAATGACTAAGAATGGTTAAGGACATGTTGAAGGTCAAGCACAAACTGAGGGCAAGACATGGCCTGGACAATGTTAAGGGGCACTTTCAGGTTGAGGGCCACAAAAAACATCAGTGTGTGTATTGAGTTCAATATCACAGTCAAAGTCAGTTTCAAGGACAAGTTAAAAATGAGGGCCACGGTCACAGCAATGATTAGGATGAGGATGAGGGTCAGAGTCAGATTCATATTCAAGGTCAAGTTCACGATTATTTCAGGTTAAGGTCAGAATGATTATCAGTGTATGAGATTCAAGATCAGGGTCAAGTTGTGTTCAAGGTCAAGTTTGAGATAAAGATTAAAAAGGGTAAGATATAGTCAGGATGATGGTCAAGATTGGGTCACATGTGAGTAAAAGTTAATCCAAAGTCACTTCAAGGGGATCATGGTGAGGATGATCATTACTATAAGAAAGACAGATTAAGGGCCGGCCCCGTAGCTCACTCAGGAGAGTGCAGTGCTGGTAGTGCCGAGGCTGTGGGTTTGGATCCTATATAGGGATAGCTGGTGTGCTCACTGGCTGAGCATGGTGCGGACGACACCGAGCCAAGGGTTACGCTCCCCTTACCGGTCAAAAAGAAAAAAAAAAAAAGAAAGAAAGATTAAGGTTAAGAAGTTAAAGGTTAGAATCTGTGAGATGGTGGCAGGATGTACAGGGTCAGGATAAGGGTCAAATTCAAGACAATCAAGTTCAAGGCCAAGTTAAGCACTGACTTTGGTCAACATGGTCAGCATCAGGTTGAAGGTCAGCCTCAAGGTGAAGTTAAAGTTTATTCCAAGGTTGTGATGAACACTGGCATGATATTTAAGTTTTAAATTCAGGTCAAAGTTAAGGTCAAGTTCAAAATTAGGGAAATTCATGATTAATAGGACATTCACAGGGTTAGGGACTAAGGGTCAGGATTAAGTTAAGTTTCAAGGCTAAGATCATCAAGTCCAAGGTCATTTCAAAGCCAGGGCAGGTCAACCTAAGGCTGATTTAACGTAAAGTGCAAGTTAGTTTAAAGTTAGGAGATAGGCTGATCCCTGTACCAGCCAGCTGCCAAAAAAAAAAAAAAGGAGATAGGGTCAGAGTGAGGATGAGGATCAGTTTCAGGGTCAAGATCATTGGGTCTCGATCAAGTTCATAGTCATGAAGGTAAGAGTCAGGTTCATGCGCAGGGTCTGACTAAGGGCAAAGTCATGGGTCCTTTAGAGTGTCTGACTGAGCGTCACAGTCTGGGTCAGAATGAGTGAACCAAGATGGAACATAAATGCAGCAATATACAAGAACCTCAAAGCAAGCTCTTACTGAAAGTTTGAGTCAATTAAGATGAGTCTAATTAGTGGTAATGAAAAGATTTCATATCACTGCAAGTTCAGTCTCAATCATTCCATTCATGTTAGTGTAAACCAAGATAAACATAAGCAGTGCAACATATATTCATAATGTATTCTTACTGCAAGGTATGGTAAATTAGGATGAGTCTACTTAGTGATACTAGAAGGCATCATTTTTTTTTCCTTTTTGTCTTTTTTCATGACCGGTAACGGGATTGCAACCCTCTGTGTCGCGCCTGCACTGCGTTCAACCAGTGAGCGGACCGGTCTCTATAGGGGATCCGAACCCTCGGCGGGAGCGCCGCCGCGCTCCCAAGCACCGCACTCTATCGAGTGC